CCACACACACACACACACACACACACACACATGTGTACTTCACACACACAAACACAACCATGCTCCTTATTTTTCTTATTTTATAGCAACATGCCATCTCTATGGAGATGTAGTGTAAAATTTGTATATTACTATTTAATTTTTGTTAAAGCTATCTTATGTATTTGACTCGGATTTAATTAAATGTACAATACAGGTACAGTATTGTTTAGCGAAGGATTAGGCAACTTAGTTATGTTTTAACTAATGTTATCCACAGCCATGGAATCTAACCCTATTTTCCATTAGCCTTTAGTCTAGCCAACTGCGGATTTGCCAACCACAGGATTTTTCAGGAACCTTACCCCTGCGGTTGGTGAGGGACTACTGTATTACATTGCCCCTGTACAGTACACCCTTTTTACTATCCTCTTCTACCTCCTTCTCACATGTCCATATCATATCCTCAAACTTAACTTCACCCTTTCCAACAGTCCACACTTTACTCCTTTCCATTCTAGTAACCCTAGATGCAGCCCTTCAGTGAATCATCTCTATCTTAAATTTTAAAGCATTTTGTTAAATTCAACGACCATTTGTTACTGTCAAAAGTTAATTTTGGAAGAATCATGCTATGCTAGTTTCCACTTTGACTTCAAGGTTACATTCCTTCACTTGACACAACTTTCCAGCTCTTCAATCATTGTTTCCGTATATTAGTCTCTATTTTTTCTATTGTATCATTCTTGCTTGACATATTTCCCGAATACATAATGTATTTGAAATATTTAACCTCCTTGGGTCATTCTTCAACATAATTTTATAGTGTATGCAGTAGTATATTCATCCTCTTTTCATTAAATAACTATACAGTACAGTATACTGAAGAGAAAACAAACAAACACAGGGACATTACACATCCCTGTCTAACTAATTCTTTCACTTTAAAGCAATCATACAGTCTTCCCTTAACTTTCAGACTTGCAGTACTTTTGTAAAACTTTTTTTCTCGTCACGAATCTTCTCTTCTCCTCCATAAATCTTATCGCTTCCCACAGCCTTTCTTAATTCACCTGTCATAGGACTACTGTGTCTGTGACTATTGTATACTTTATCCTATTTTTCCAGTTTATCTTTCAGTAAATATTTTTACTAGAAACATTAATCTATACAACCTCTACCTCCTGATATTCCTCCCTGTTCTTCATTCATCTTACATTTTTCTTTTCTTTATTCTTGCAATTACAATCCTGTCATAAACTTTCCAAGGTAATCCCTTATATAAAAGAATTAATGTATAATTAATTTCAACCACTCATCCAGTACTTTTCCTGTCAGACTTAGTGAGAAAAGAGAAACTGTTTGTCAGTGAAAGTAGGACTGTAGCAGGGATGTGTGCTACAGGTACTGGTATTACCTTTGTTTTTTCATGGATGGGTGATAAGAGAAGTCAATGTAAAATTGATGTTGAAGGATGTGAATTTGGTGAACAATGATATGAAATATTAATAGGAGGCAAGTCAGGTGCTGTTTGTAAGTGACAGTACAGTATTCTAATGGGGAATTATAAAGAAAAATACAGGTACAAGTGTTGATGAATGAGTTTAGAAGTGTGTGTGTACAGTTCAAATAGAAAGTTAATAGTGAATGTGAGCAAAAATAAAGTATGAGGTGGATGGAGAAATAATTTTGAGTTTGAATGGAGATTAAATGGAGAAAGTTGAGTGCTTCATATATCTGGAAGTGGATGCAATGGGAATGGTGATCTGAACCATAGAGTAAAGGAGAGGAGGACAGCGATAGGTGCATTAAGAAATGAATAGAGATAACTTTATCAAAGGAATCTGAAATGAGTATGTTCAGAGGAATTGTGCTGACGTAAGTGCACTACAGTTGGGTCTTTATTTACGCGGTCAATTGAACCCGCGGAGTACCGCGTAAAACGAGAAACGCGTAAATGAAATAACAGAACATGTGGGATTAATTGAAATAGAGACTGGGCCGAACCCCAAACTCCACTTTTTCCGACACAATACGTACCTTGTAGTCAAAATAACATCTTAATTTTATGATGGTATGCACACACAATTAATAATTAAGAGAAATATCAATAATATTAGGTTTTTTAACACTTACATTAGTAGAAAAGATGGCTGGGCGCACGGGGATGGGGGGATGGTTCCGAGGCAGAGGGCAGATTATTGGCCCTCACCTGTATCACTTGTATTAATTGTATCACTATCCACCACAGAGGCTTGTAGGGCCTCTTTGTCAAACCCCTCAAAGTCCATATCCTCACTAGCATTATCACTATCACTGACTTGGGCCGGCTGTGGTGGGTGGCTGGTGAAGAACTCGGTAATGTTTTGATGACTGGGCGACCTTGTGTGCACCCTGCCCGCGCCGCTTCCCGCGTAAATGACCAAATTTGCCACGTAAATCAAGCATTTCAATTCTGGCAAGGCACCACGTAAATGACAAAACACGTAAACCAAAACCGCATAAATCCAGACTCAACTGTACTAAGGTCATTGAACATGGCTGTGGATACAAGAGGAAGAAGCTTATTGGAAATAATGGAAAGGGTGTTTTGAAAGCAGTGTGTTGGGTGAAAAAGATTTACCGGTAGATAATAAGAAATAAAGAAATAAGGAGAAGTGGAAGTGAAAATTGTTGAGCAGTGAGCAGATCATGGTTTGCTCAAATGGTCTTGGGATTGAGAGATTGTAAAATGAAAAATTTATAAAGAGAGTTTATTATTCAGAGGTGGATGGATGAGGATAGACCAAGTGGGAGGATGAGGTGAAGGACAAACTGAAAATGAAAAGGATAGACATTGCAAGGAGCATTAGTACTGTATGCAGGTGTGAGTGCAGAGCATAGTGTTGAAGGACTCTTTGGGGAAGGAATTACTGATGGTGGATGATACTGGGTAAAATAGCAGAAAACATGTATTGCGTCAGTAAGAATGAATGAAGCAAGATTTGCATACAAGGACTGCAGAGATAAAATCATTGATAATGTATTTTACATTACTGAGTTACAAGCATAATATTTACTTCTGGTATAAATTATGCTTACCGGGTAGGTGGTTTTTCTTAATGCAGAATGACTGTATTGTTTATATCCACTTCTTGAACTGTACCATGAAGAATTGGATATTTAAAGGTATTGGAAAGGAAATACAGTAGTAATTTAAATATTCTATCCAATTCTCTCCAGTATAGGTAATCTTAAAATAGAAAAGTAGGAAATGGCAAGGTTTACATTACACCAGATATAATTAGTAAGTGGCTTTTAAATGTAAAGATTATACATTTTTCTCAGACCTGATAGTTTTTTATTAAGTTTTTTATTATTATTGTTCATTAATTACTTCTTCATTGAAAGAGAAAGGGCATAGTTGTACATCATACCTTTAATATTTAATGCTGTTATTTACTGTTTTCAGTTCTTAAATGAATGTTCTGTAAACCTGTAGATTCATTTGTTTTACATTCTGTCCTCTGCTGTACTTAAAGATTACTTTCAAATAATAAAATTAATTTTAAATATCGGTAACTTAATTTAGTACAGTTTATTTCAGATTGCAAGTCAATCTTATTAGTATTTTTTATATATTGTTTTTGCAGGTTTTTTGTGTTTTTATGCAATGAAAATAATTTAGTTTTGTATATGCACACAATAGGTTTTAACTATGTTTGATGTTAACAGCCCAATAGGTAGCATTTTCCCACTTCAAATTTATCACCCCTAGTTTCTTAAAATGAAATTTCACCTCCAAACTTCGTTTTTACAATTCACCCTAGATGCAACTGCTGTGATGAGACAAATGCGTCAAACCCCCAGTTGGTTGTCATGTTACTAAATACAGACAATATTTATCTTTAAACTCACATTACAGTACAGTATACAAATTTACTTCCATACATCAACCTTCATTATACAGTACAGTCCCCAAAAAAGTATCATTAGATTTTCCGATGCTACAATTTCAACCGCTAGATGAAATGCTTTGATATGATCCCCAGTGTATCATCATAAGTTAGTACATCTGCTCGCCATATCAACAACAGCTAGAGATGGGGGTAGGATTGGGGAAGGGAATCATCCTTGTATGGCATACTAGATACAGTACTGTGCTTCAATATAACTAGAAATCCATTTGGTGTATATATATATATATATATATATATATATATATATATATATATATATATATATATATATATATATATATATATATATATATATATATATATATATATATATATATATATATATATATATTATAGTTTTTTTTTTTAATACAGGGATTAGTCTTCCTTGGCACAGGCAAACGATACTTTCTTTTGCGGCTGTACATGTGATCCTTTGTCTCCAGTATTCTAAATTCTTTCCCTTTCATGTTACAGTTCTGTAACCCATCCACCCCCAAAAATGTTCCCTTAATTATGTTTCCTAAATTGTCAACTTAACAGTACAGTATCTACTGTGTGTGTGTGTGTGTGTGTGTTAAACAATAATTAAATGTTCAGTAAGGCTAATATATATATATATATATATATATATATATATATATATATATATATATATATATATATATATATATATATATATATATATATATATATATGTATGTATGTATGTATGTATGTATGTATGTATATATATATATATATATATATATATATATATATATATATATATATATATATATATATATATATATATATATATATATATATATATATATATATATTAAATAATGAATTTTATAATATTATGGAAAGAGTAGTTCTTCCTCAAAATATCTTATTCATAGACTGAGCTGGTATCATAAATTAATAACACTTTCTAATTGATTTTCCTTTTTCGTCAACAAAGCTCTTAATTCTCTATTATCATCCTACAGTTAAATAATCTTGTTGTTCTTAGACTTAAACCATTATGTTACTTCTTAATTCCGACTAATATTAGCTCTCCTTTGCAATCTGAATATAATTTGATCATTTTGGCAGGTTGTTCCATCTCGGGACCAGAGGGCTGCAACCTCTTCATCTACCACCTGCCACAGGAGTTTGGTGATGCTGAGCTGATGCAGATGTTCCTTCCTTTTGGAAATGTGATCTCCTCCAAGGTGTTCATTGACAGAGCCACCAACCAGAGCAAGTGCTTTGGTGAGATCTTATTGTTTTTCTCTTTGGGGGGGGTAATACATTTACACTCTATTTCAGTTACCTTACTGTCTAACTTAAAGAGGAATGAATATAAACAATTCCAGCATGCTTGGTTGATTAAATTGGTTATACCGGTACTGTTGAATATGTTTGAATTGTTTGCTTGAGATTATTACCTTGCTGTTTTCCATACAAATAAGTTAATTATATACTTTCAACATTAACAGTGATGTCAGAATTAAGAGTAAAAGTAACATAACATAAAAAGAGCATGGATGAAGCATAATAGGGAAAGGTAACAATACGATACAATATTTTCATAACTGTACTATATTGTAGTTATTTTTCTGAGTTAATGTTATTGTTATAGTCAGTGTGATTTTCAATAACACTTAATATCTGCAGGTTTTGTGAGCTTCGACAACCCTGCCTCGGCTCAGGCTGCTATCCAAGCGATGAATGGCTTCCAGATTGGCATGAAGCGCCTAAAGGTTCAACTCAAGCGACCCAAGGATGCCAATAGACCCTACTAACGGCCGCACTCAGTAGGGGAGACCAGGTACAGTATTGATGATGTAATATTTATATAGCTATACAGTGTGTTCCCTAGGGTTCATTCTTATGTCATACACTGGAAGTTATACAAATTTGCAATGAGTACAATATAATAGATTATGTCTGAAATAGGCATATTAAAGTATTTATGTATTGCAGTGGCAATGTTACACTTTTTCCCCAAGTACACAAATTTTACTTTACTTTACCTTATCCCCTTTGCTACTGATCATCCTGTTAGCTGCTTGTGTGATCAGTCACTTCTCTTGTTATGTACTGTTAGCAAGTACTGGGCATGTATCTGTACTTGCACCAGTATTGGTCAAGTCTGGTCTTGAATGAGCTCCACTCATTGCTGTCACAACACTCTCGGGCAGATTGCTTCAAGAGTTCACAACTCTCACTCCAAAAAAGCTCACCCTGACAATTTTCTGAACTTGGGCTTCTTCAACCTTAAGCTGTGACCTCTAGTGGGGCGAGTATCTACCGGTTCCAGGTATGAACAGTCAACTGGAGTAATGTCCTCTGAGGAGTTTATAGACTTATATTAAGGCACTCCTTGCCGGCCTATAGCTTAAGCTGGAAAGGGCATCTGCTGGAACTTTTCCCGGGTAGGGTGGGGGAGGGGGGGTCGGTGAGCTAATATTTTAGGTTCAGTTTTTACCGAATTTGTGAAATCACTGCAGCTGTAATGAGTTGCTTTCTTTTTTCTTTTTTTTCTTTTTCTTTTTATTCTGTTTTAACTTCCCTTTAATTATATTAAATTCTACATCCCCTTCTTTCATTGGTTATTTGTTGTAAGCAACAAATAACCAACGAAAGAAGGGGATTTTGACACATGCCTTGTTAGGGGGGAGGGGGGGCAAGAGATGACGGTAGTAATGCATGTGATGGAGGGTGCGGGAGGGGGTTTTGAGAATTGTAATTAAATGCCAGGTAGCGACGTGTCGTCCTAATATTATGTATTTATGTAATTATTAGATGTTTTAATTGCCTGTATGTTGGCCTAGCGAGTTAATGCTAGGCATTTACATACGTAGGTGTAAAGCTAGATGTCGCATTCTGGACTTACCACAAAAACTGATTTTTAGAAAAAAGGCTTTTTTTTCCGGGTATGGGAGCAAATTCTGGGGATGAAATAATCCGGCATTCTGGAAAATTCAAGAAACTCTCTCTTTCCACTTTTTTCTGAGACTGGGGGCAAGTTCCGAGGACGAAATAATGTGCAATTTCCAAAAAATTCAGAGAAAATTTTCCCAATAGTAGTAATCAGGAAAATTAAGGGAATGTGGATTTTTCTGGGTTTCAGAGAGAGTCGTCTTGTTACCGGAAATCTCTCATCCCCGGAAGAGGTCTGCACCAGTTTATCCGGCCATTGGGCATATCACTGTATTGACCATGAAAATATATATACAGGTTGTACCTGTCTAGTCCGGCAACCTCGGGACCTGACCGGTGCTGGACCATGGAAATTCACCCTTTTCCTGGATAGATAGTGACTTGTGCATACGCTTGGAAGCACTAGCACCACTTTCACTGCTTCGTGGTCTCTTTGAAGATATATTGAAGGGTTAAATGTTGTATAGTAGGTTCTCATATTTTGGGAGTTTTTAATTCAACATTTTTATTTGGACACAAAAAAAAACACTACGCAATTTAAAATGTTGACGGCGGAAACTCGAATTTCAACGGGTTTGAGCGGCCCGCCAACGTTCAGACGTGCGCAAATCGTGAAAACAGTGTCATTTCTCTTATGTACAAAAGATTCATTATTGTTTATTACTGGATGTCTTTTTTATTTATATAAATTTTGTGTGCAAAATGAACAATACAATTCATTAATAATATGTAGAATATTAAAACACACGGGTAAACGAGACGGGATTGTTTTTGTTGATTACAAAACCAGTGACTGACTGGATCTACATATAAAACTGAAGAAAATAAGACCCTGGTTGTAGCTGTAGTAAAATTAATGTAAAAAAATTAATATGGTTGTTTTAAGTAATGTTATTTAATGTTAATAAATGGAACAATATAAGTAGCTAACTATTAAAGGTAAAAAAAAAAGTGAACTCGCATATGTAAGTGAGCACATGTGAAAACATATCTTCATTACTATACCTTAGAATATGAAAGGAACACTTATTTACTGTTCGTATATGTTTTAATTAATGTTTCTGAATTTTTTTTTATTGAATTAATGTTTGTGTGCAAACTGAACAATACAATTCATTAATAATACGTGGAATATTAGAACACACGAGGAGACGAGACGTCATTGTTTTTGTTAATGTTTACAAAACCAGTGACTGATTGGCTCTACATATAAAACTGAAGAAAATAAGACCCTAGTTGTAGCTGTAGTAAAATTAATGTAAAAAAATTAATATGGTTGTTTTAAATAATGTTATTTAATGTTAATAAATGGAACAATATAAGTAGCGAACCATTAATGGTAAAGAAAAAAGTGAGCTCACGTATGTTAGTGCGCACATGTGAAAACATATCTTCATTACTATGCCGAGGAATATGAAAGCAACACTTATTTACTGTTCATATATATTTGAATTAATGTTACTGAATTTAAAACAAAAATTCTACTCGCCAGTGGTGGTAAAGTTGAAAACATAAGGACAGCCAATGTTGCTGTGTGTGTTTTTACTCGAATGACGTATGCTCAACTCTAGCTGAAGCCGTAGAACATAAGAACTTTTTCTGTGTTGTTTTTAGTTTTTATTTAATTTTATCTGTGTTATTTTCGTTGGTTTATTAGGATGTTGCTTTATTACAGGTAGTAATTTGCCAAAAAAAGTAGGGTAAATAAGGCAAAATTTAGCTAAACATTGAAAGTACCAGACTCAAATTAATTTTCTCCGTGGGTGTGTGTGTGTGTGTGTGTGTGTGTGTGTATATATATATATATATATATATATATATATATATATATATATATATATATATATATATATATATATATATATATATATATATATATATATATATATATATATATATATATATATATATATATATATATATATACATACAGTAGTACCCCGATTTACGCGGTCAATTGAACCCACAGGGTACCGCGGAAAGTGAAAACCGCGTAAAGTGAACAACAGAACATATGGGATTAATTCCAATAGAGACTGGCCCGACCCCCAAACTCCACTTTTTCCGACACAATACCTATGTTGTAGTAAAAATAACATCTTAATTTTATGATGGTATGCTCACACAATTAATATTTAAGAGAAATACAGTCGCCAGGTTAATGTCCATTCAAATAATGGACTCAAATCCCCCCCCTCTTCCCAGCTCACTAGCTCCTACCTCTCTGAGAAATGTTTGGGTGAAAACACTAGATTTTAACGTTTAGTAATAAATAATACCTCAGACTAAAGTCAGGATAATGTAATTGACATTTCTGGATTCCTTGCAGGTCAGGGAATATTTTGAATGTAAACTTCATATATTTTGCACAAAAGATAAAATATTTGCTCTGTGTAAATCAAATTATTACATTAGATCTAAAATTTGCATGTCTAATGCAAAATCCATGATGTTTATATTCAAAATGATCATCATATTGTAAGAATTCCAGCAATGTAAATTATATTCTGGCTGGGTAATTTGTATGAATTTTATGAGCTAAATAAAAAAATAAAAAAAATTATATTTCACCCCGTATATGAGTAGATGCACCGCGGAAAGTGAAAGTCTGGTTCTGGCAAGGTACCGCGTAAATGAGAAATCGCGGAAAGTGAAACCGCGTAAAGCGGGGTAATACTGTATTTGGTAAAATTTCCGATTGAGACATTTTCGTATATACAGTATATGACGCACATGCTGCAATGGGATGCCACTGCCAACTGCCTTGCTCAGTGTAAACATGAACTTTATATGTCACGCTTTTTGGTCATAGTCAATTCACATTGGTCAGTCTTGGAGTGAACATTGATGGTCTACCATAGGCATACTGAAGGGGGGGGGGGAGGCGATCGCCCCTCCCTCCTTTTAGATAATAAATTATTCCAAATAAACCAATTATAACAGTAAGAAATGAAAAAATAATAACAAAATAAATAAAAATAATAGCATCACTATTTGAAAGGTAAGCTTATCATGAACTTAAAAAAGAATTTTATTCATCTCATATTTCAATAATAATACCTGTACCTCGCTCTGTTTGGTTCAATGGTCGCCTCCTCCCCCTCCTCCCCCTTAGTAAATTTCTTGGTATGCCACTGCAGTCTACCACACAAGCTTTTTCCATCATTGTCCAGTGTTTGAGCCATTATGTCTGATAACCCTGGACCAATTACCTAAATCTGGTATTGTACTTAGAACGTTTACATTTTTATTGGGGAAGATAACATAAAAGTCCTCTCTTTTTTGTTCAGTCCAGAATTTGGGATGATGAATAATATGATACTAGTATAATACCATTTTAGCTCAAAGCTTAATATTCATTTCTTTATTTTACAGGGGCATCTGATGGTGAAGCTGTTCTTGAAGAAGATGGCTCCGTGTTTATCATAGCTTGAATATGACATTTATATGAAGTATTAGGAATCCAAAGCCTAGGTTGTAAGTTAAAAAAAAAAGAGAAGAAAATACTTGAAAAAATATAACTTTCTCTGCAAGATGAACATTATTCCCATATTTCTATACTACAAGTGCTACATATACGAGTCCAGAGAGCTTGAGTTGCTACACAGGCTGCGGAAGGCCTCAGAGGTGGCAAGAAAGGGATGGTTTCTAAAACACGGATTGCTAATTTTTTCCTACTTTTTTTATATATATTTTTTTATTTTTTTAGAGAGAGAGAAATACAGTGATTGGAAGTCCACAATTGAGGCCTGTGCTGCTGTGTACACAAACTGTATATACACTGTACCGAGCTATTGCACGGTACCAAAAAAAAAAAAAAAAAGGATTTGGGACTGGAGGTCCCTCTCCTCTCACATGTTGATAGCCATGTTATTACTGAGAGTATGGAAACAATATTTTTAATATTAATAAGCCTTCTGTTAAAGTTATATTACGTATCATAATATTTCAACTATATCATATTGTTAAGAATAGTAGTATACTTAAGACGTGCTCTATCAGCTCTACGCCATTTTGTGCGAGTTGGCCGGGTGATGTGGATCTCCCAGCACCGGATGTGTCCTAACCCGCCCCGCTGACGGGTTGCTCCTTCAGGGTACTAAGTGTTGCGTGTCTCGTGTCTGTTGCCTCACGCCCTGCGCTGTGCCCGGGCGCCCACGCAGCTGCCACCCCCTTGGCTGTCGTCTCATGGCTCAGTAAATGCCCATGTTTTTACCTGGTAGTCTGTGGGTGTACTGTCCACAAGTGCTTAGCTTGAAACTGGGCCACTGTAGCAGTGATGCCACGTGCACTGGTGCTCCTCACGCCATTTTGCGTGCCGTGTGGCCGGGCGGGGCACCACCCACCCCACCAGACCAGGGCGCTAAGGTCTCTTCCCAGCTCCACAGTTGGACAACCAAAGTGATGGCCTCAAAGGGTTTAGAGGCCCCTAGTCTAGTGTCAAACTAGAGGATTAGCTTCTCTATACCTGTAGATGCCTATAGATACATAGATTAAAGCGCTAGATAGCTTTCAAGTATAGAGGAAGTCTCATAAAGACACATTGTATATATGCTGAAGGTAACTTGGTAGGACTATTGACCCTGCATTTGATCATATGTACAGTGGATAGCATATTCACTAGACTAAGGGTACCAACGCTTATCTCCAGTCAATTTTATATCATGATATATTTTTAAATCATTTGTATCCAATGGTTTAATAAGATTTGTGCATTTCTTTGTGGCTTAGATTTTTAGACATCTGTATGTTTGTCAGATCAAAGTGGCATTATTTTCTAGTCAAGGTGTACTTGTTATTTTTTTAAAAGATTACAGTTTTTGCAGCGATCTTTCATCTATGATCTCAGACATTCCATCTAGTCATTATTATTGTTTTATCCACCTTCTTGGGAACTTAATTCCCCCACCCCTCCCCATTATTAATATACTATATGTCATCCACATAACTTTTGAACCATTGACAGAAATGTGCCAAGAGAGTTCAAGATGATTTTTCCATTACCTGGTCTATTTTATTTGTTTCATATATTTACATGTTATACACCCTTGTGGTTTAGGAGTAAGAATTACTCATTTCTGAAAGAATGAAGCTGTTTCTCTGACATAGCATATCTAGTCCAATATGTACATACGCACCATTGTCAGGCTGCATTATGCTATGGCTGCTCTGTGGAAGAGACTGTTTGCACTTCAATCTTCACTTGAGTATCTGCTTATTGACTGTTGGACAATGGCTAACAACATAGTTGTTATATCATGAACTGAAGATTGATACCAACAAGTATGTAGCAGAGTGACACAGTAATAGGAATATGATTTTCTTACTGCAACATGATTATTATCTTAACCTTGAGATTAATGTCTAATATAATCTTGAGTATGGTTATATAGGTGTTCGAAGAATAATACAACAAGAAAAATGTCTCTTTCCCATAGCAGGCTGGTGTAATAAGTCTGCGCCACTGTAATATTACATAGGCCCTATTGCCTCGCTCATGCTGGCATCTTGTTTTAAGCGTGATTGGAGTTTGTTTGTCAAGCTTAAACTCAGCATTTCATAAGTTTACCAAAGTTAATTCGTTATATTGTAAACAAGATGGCAGTAAATGAGTACAACAGGGATATTATTAAGGATTGTAAGGAGATAGCCACACCAAAGAAATAAGAGAAAAATACTTAAAGAATAGTTTTAGTACATCACGTTTAGAAACTGCGTAGCATATAATTTATTATCATTTATTTATTTATTGCTTATAATTTATTAATACAATTGCCGAAAGGAGAGTGTAATCTTCAGTGGTTAGTTTTCAAGGCCGTATGAAATCTAGTTGTTTTCGGGACCAATTTTAGTGTCTTTTGGTCAATTCGTGTAACATGGTGTCGTTCAGTGACGTGTTGTATTCGTTTGAAACTTTGAACCCATTTTTGAGGTATGTTTATGAAGCCCTTGGACTACCATAAGATACACTCTCTAGTATATTGCTAATACTTAGCCCCTATAAATTTTAAGGATATTGGTAAATGCCCGCATATTATAAAGTATTCATTTTCGTATTAATGGAGGAAATCAGGAGGCCCATACCTGCTACTATAAGTTAATTTTTTCAGCAAAATGTCAGGCCTGTTGAAGAGACAAAATGGTCAATTTTTTGGACAAGCATCTCATTGGCTCAGGAGCTGAGAGTACTTGTGCATCACTCAATAATTATGAGTGTGTGGATTTATTCCCACCAGAATGGTATAAAGTGTTTCCAGTGAAGACGGCTGGTGACCTTTGATGATGACTGCCTTTGGTGACTTGTGTAACTAGTGGTTAGCAGGGCCCCAGCATATCAGTGTTGCGCCTCCTCTGGCCTTGCCTGGTCTTTGACCCTGGTCCTGGCGGAACTGGCTGCCTGCACGGTCTCTCGTCTTGCGCCTTGCCTTCACTGACCCCACCCCGTGCCAGGAGCCGGCAGGCCCCTTTCTGCCGGCCACATCTCCCCCGTCCGCTGACCACTTCTGTCCCTTCCGCACTGCTGCAGCCCACCTTTCCTCATCACCCTTGCCGTAAGACGGACCTTACTGTAGGAGGCCGTGACACAGGTTATGGGAACGAGAGTGAGCTGCCCCTAGTGTATACTAGGGTAGGATGGGCGGACAGGGGCGAGGGCAAGGCTGGACCTGGCGCGCCGCTTGTGTCTAACACAGCGCCTGCCCCTGGCCTCCTCCATATCACATCTCACCACAAGTTGCGGGACTCACCCCTCCAGGGGACGCCGGATCCTGTTAAGCTATATGGTTGTTCATCAAGATGGCAAGCTCTGTAAGCTTTTATATTGTAATTTTCTAGACCCCAGATTCTTCTCCTTCCAAGAGAATTTAATAGCATGGTAAAAAGTAGTTAACCATTTGAAGTAGTTTGATAGGAGCATAATTTATATCTGATTTGCCATAGTTAAGAGTAGATGGCTTGATCTGGCCTAAGGTGCCATGGGATAGCCAGTATCCTTAATTATTCACAGTCTCACGAGTCACTTAAACCTCGTGAGTCAGTTGTGCAGGACAAGCTTGTGACCCACCACCAGCTGTGCTCCAATATCGCCAAAACCATAGCCAGGAGTTGCTGGCACAAATGGCCTGGGCAAGTTTTCCATCAAGTAAATATTATACCAGATCAGCTAGGACAGGGCCTTGTGGTACACACTCCAGTTGAACTATGGCATTGTGCCCAGCATTTGTGAGCTTTGTGTATAAAATTTGTATGGAAAACTTTTAGATTTGTATGGAAATTCAATAAATATTTGTGATCTTTAAATGATCTTAAGTTGATACATGCTGTTATGCTGGCTATGCCTTTGCGTGACATTTGTAGTTGATTTTAAATATTATATGTTAATTTTTAATTAGACATAGCTTTGATCTATTTAAATTTTAAAACCAGACATTGTGCAACAAATTGTATATTTTATTGCAGCATTTAAGTGTAACCTACATGACAGGGACAATTAAACCTCTTTAAATTGTTGCTAAGTGCACAAATATATACATTGATTGTTAAAATGCACATGATAGTCATTGAAAAATTTAACATTTGATTGTATTTTACTCTAAAATAATACAGTACATCAAAATATTGTAAAGTATCACAAGTAGGGATAATATAGGTTGTGTAATGGTTCAAAAGGGTTTCAATACACCCTTGATGGGTCGATTGAGAGTGTGTAGCATTCTTGCCCTTGTAAAAGTGATACTTTGTAATGAAATAAAGATCCAATATATTTCACTTTATCATTTACCACTTTACTTCCTAGCCACACTGTAAACAAGAGCAGGCCCCTATTATTTCAAGTCAACCCTATTTAACCTTTATACATTTCATAATTTGTAAAGTACACCTATGGCCGGGGAATTGTCACAGTCAACAATGTCAAAATTGCGAGCTACCAATTCAGGAGTTTATCGTTTATCAATTAATGCTTCAGTGACCATAGCCACTGGCACAGTAGCCTTTTTTGCTGTAGTGAGTAATTAGAATTGCAAAACAAATGAAATGACAAATATTTACCAAAATTTCAACTTTTTTGCCCAAATTGCAAGGCTTACTGAAAATTACTTTTTCTATCAGAATGAATGAGTTTACTTTAGTATATCCCAAATAACATGAAAACACCTAAAATCACCATTGGAAAATCGGTTTTTCCCGAGTTATTAGATAAAGTACAGGTATCCCCCAATTTATGATCTCCCTATCTATGATAGTCTGCTTTAACAATTGTGATGTATTAAGATCACCCTCCAATTTGCAATGTAAACATTTCACATGAATGATGTTCATTGTCCGGCCAATGTGGAATATGGAACTACAGTACCAAGCTTTGCTCCATGGTGATTGCACATGGCCGTGATCATGTAGCTCAATGATTATCGGTCAGTTTCGGTGTTACTTATCATCTGATTTTTGTTTTTTTTACCTTACAGTGACAGGACATGACTAACATTTGCATTGTACTCTGTTTTGGTGACTGTGAAGTGATTTTTGCTATGTTTTTTTGTGATTGTAAATTGCTATATCTTTGTTGTGAACTTCATGTGACCAGTGTTGGCCTCTATCATTGTTTGTATGTTATCATCATTCACTCTGTTTTTTGTGACACATGCTTTTGCTCTTTTTTTTTTATGAGTGAAGTGAGCACCCTGAAAAACCGTGTCTCTGGACGTGAAGTTTGACATTGTGAAGCGGCATGAAACTCCCCAGAGGCTGTATGTGAGTCAGAGTGATGTCTCCACTCCACCTTCAAGAGTCCCCATAACCTCGAAGGGGACATTTAATGATGACCTTGCTTATTTTTAATGATGTGGTGAGTATTGTTTAATTGTGTTGTAGTGCTTGAAGTATTCAAAGATGGGTTTTTCAGGAACGTAATCTCATCGTAAATAGGAGGATACCTCTACACACCAATGCTCTTCATTTATCATATTTCGTAGATTTATATTATATTTTCTTTACTTCTAAGCCACATTAAAGTATTTTGTTAATGCACACTTGGAGCACAGAATCCCTAGTTTTTCCGACTTCCCTCCCAAGTTTTTCCCAATCAGTCAAACATCGCTAAACCAAAAAGTTTTGACTAATCGTTAACAAGAAAGGGTGTTAAATTTTTTATCTCCAAGTGAATGAAGTTAAACGAGGGATACCTGTAATTACCCAAATTTCAACTTTTCCACCAAAGATTCTTAATCAATATTCCAAAGACTACCTATACAGCACCTACATTTTGAGTAAAATTAAATTTAAAAAATCACGTTTTCTCTCAGAATTATAAATTAACGTGTTTAACTGCTCTAGAACATCCAGAGTAACACAAACAATACTTTTCAGCATCTCCTTGCATCAAAATTCACCCCAGGAAGTGTATTTTTGTGGTGACAGCTGATGATGTCAGTCCACTCCTACAGAAGGTGGATGCCATCAGGGACTTCTTATGTCCTTCTTTGAGCAAGAAATTAAGGGAATTCGTTGGTATAATCGATTACTACCATTGGTTCATTAACTTGGCTTCAGACACCCTCTGCATAATCTCCTGAAAGTTTGAAGACTGCAAAGGCCACCTTGAGGTGGATCCTCGACAGAACATTACAGTGCTAGGTTGACCCTGTTGGCACACTCTGCCCCCAGTGCACCCACAATGCTCTCACCACTGACACCTCATCCACAGCAGTGAACGCTGTTCTCCATCAGGAGATAAATGATTAACTCATCCCCTTTGCCTTCTTTCCATAGCCCCCCAGTGGGAGCTGCCTTGGTGTGGTGGGGAAGCTTGAGAGTCCCGATGATCCGGTGATATATACCAGAGGGGGGCTTGGCCTCTCTTCCTTCCTCCTTGAAGGAAGGGGAAAGATATTCCAAACTTGGTGGGTCCAGACAAAATGGCTCCTATCCTGCTGCTAGTTTTGAGAACAGACTGTCAGCATCATCTCCAGCCCAGATCACCAGGGCTGGAATACTCTCCCACGTACTTGCCGTGCTCGCTGTCCCATAATGTTGGGAGACAGGAGTCCTGGAGGTTGAGCGATGCCACACACTGCGCCCTGTGGCTAGCAACACCCCACTTTGGTCCTCTATTCTAGTTAGACGAGCGGCTTGGTTGGGCCTAATCAAGTCAATCGGCTGGTCACAGTGTGGCTAGGGTCAAGGAGGCATCAGTGGGCTTGGCACTCCTTTAGTCCAAGAACTGCCATCTTGGCCCCCTAGTGGTTACCCGTGTATACTCCCCTGCTACCCCTGGGGTTGCTAGGTCCTATCTCTGGCATTGACCTCCCCCTGTTGGATTACGTGATGGGTGGCGGGATGAGGGAGTCAAGTTATTTTGTTTCTTTTTTATGAATGACACAAACAAAATAAGTTGGCCAGATTTTCCCCCTGATGACCCTGCAACCATCCCTGGACCCTCTGGATCATCAAGTGTTACATTGCAGTCCTATCAGATATAAAAAAAGTGGCTCTAGGTCCCGACAATGTCCAAATATAAGAGCCGCATGAGACCTACTGGCCCTGACATTCTCCATGACACTTCTACCTGTGAGATCTTACCATGTGTGTTCAAACAGGTGGATTTTGCTAAATACTTAGTACTATGTACCTCGGAAGGCCAGCCTGTAATGGATCTGGACATTTTCGATGTTTACAAGTCAATTCCAACAGTATGTGGGAGAGAATCCAAAATATTCACTCAGCAAGATGGTAGCCTCCTAGTGGAGGTCTCCTCCGAGGATAGTGCTTAATTCCGAACCCTGTCTGAGGTACCTGGTGCCTCAGTCTCTGGTACTCTGCACGGCACCTTTAACCAGTGTAAAGGGGTGGTATTCTCTAAAGAGCTGCTCCAATACTCGGAAGAGAAGCTTCTAGAGGATAGGTTCTGCAAGAAAGAAAATGGTATTCTTAACCCTACACCAACTCCGTTATTGACATTTGACTGCTTCGAATTCCAACCTCCATCAAGGATTGCTTGGATCTTTCTTAAGGTGAAACCTTGTCTCACAAACCCTAGACGATGCTTCCATTGTCAGATGCATGGCCATATCAGCCGCACTTGTTGTAAGTTACAGCAGGGTGTTCCTGCAGTATGTGTTAACAATGGTAAGGCCCATGAGGGTCAGAAATGTCCGGGTCCAGTCTGCTGTTTTCACTGTAGTGAGGCGCACCCAGCCTCTTCTAGTGAATGTGACCAGTTCCGACTCGAGACAGATCCTCCGTATCCATACAAGAGACAAAGTGAGCTTTTCTGAAGCCAGAAGTGCAAGCACTGAAATCAGTTTCAAGTCATGGAGATTCCTATGCATAGGTTCTGTCCCTACACAAGGCTTGGCCAATTGTTGATGTGATATCGACCCGAGAATCATCTGTACCTGTATCGAATTCGGGTCCCACCCCCGACTCTATGGATGGGGTGGGCACATCTGCTACTCATTGTTCCTCCATCCCCCGTCCTGGAACAACAAAAAATTCAGCAAAATGCTATCAAGGATCCTCAGAGTCTCTGGAGGTGGACGATCCTCCAACCAAGGTCTCGATGGTGGAATCGCCCGACTGTTGCAAAAGAAGCAAGACTCCCTTGTAAACTTCGGAGGAGTTGGAGGAAGGGAAGGAGGAGAATAAGGGGAGGAAGAGGAGGAAGGGAAGGGGGAGGAGGAAGGAAAGGAGGAGAAGAAGGGGAGGAAGAGGAGGAAGGGACGGAGGAGGAAGGGAAGGAGGAGAAGAAGGGGAGGAAGAGGAGGAAGGGAAGGAGGAGGAGGAAGGGAAGGAGGAGAAGAAGGGGAGGAAGAGGAGCAGGAAGGGAAGAAAGGTGAGGAGGAAGAGGGGAAGGAGAAGAGGAGGAGGGGAAGGAAGAAGCAGGAGGAGGAGGAGGATGGGGAAGGAAGAGGCGGAGAGGTAGGTACAGGTGTCAGTATCTATTTCTGGGGGTAGGGTGGCAGGAGACAGACATACGTACGGACATTCTCGATATCTTGGGGGAGGTGAGAGGTGACCGTCATGGTTGAAATATTGATGATGTATGTGTGTATGTCTCCCTCTCTCTCCCTCTCTTTACCTCTCTTCCCTCTCCACCTCAAACCCCTTACACACACACACACACACACACACACGTTATCAAAGTGTAATATTTACCTACCACCCGTTCATAAGGTCATGGCGTGGGCCCCAGACTAACACACAGACATACAATTACAACTCTTTCACTGGCTGGGCTGTCGCTCTCTCTCTTGAACACTGACAGCAGCCTCCCAGTACTACGAAATGAGCTGTCAGTTAGGTACCTTCCCTCCCTCCTACGCCTCCTAACCCCTCTAACCCCCTACCCTCATACCTCTCTACCTTTCCCCCTACCCTCCTACCTCTCTACCTTCCCCCCTACCCTCCTACCTCTCTACCTTCCCCCTACCCTCCTCCTCCTCCTACCTCTCTACCTCCCCCCCTACCCTCCTCCTCCTCCTACCTCTCTACCTTCCCCCTACCCTCCTCTCCTCCACCTTCCCCCCCCTCCTTCCCCCCTACCTTCCCCCCTACCCTCCTACCTCTCTACCTTCCCCCTACCCTCCTCCTCCTCCTACCTCTCTGCCCCTACCCTCCTCCTCCTCCTACCTCTCTACCCTCCCCCTACCCTCCTCCTCCTCCTCCTACCTACCTCTCTTCTCTCTCCCTCTCTCTCCCTTGCAATATAATAAGGTTCGGTGTTAGATGTTTGCTCTCTCTCTCTCTCTCTCTCTCTCTCTCTCTCTCT